CAGATTCTAGAACAAAGGCATACTTACCGGCGTCCAACAATCATTATATTTCTTGACCTAAACGCGGCTTTCGATTCTTTCGACCGAGAGGTTCTCTGGCGATGCTTGGCTGTAAAGGCAATGCCGAGAAAATACATTGCACTGATTAAGGCACTCTACTCGACTCATGCAGCCAGGTGAGGCTTACGGCGAGTTGTCACTGAAGTGGTGACGACTAGTGTCCGTCAAGGATCCATTATCCCATTTCTATTCAACTTCATCATAGATGTACTAATGGACTTAACCCTGACTCACTTCAGTGACTCAGGGATTGACTTGCTACCAGGGAATAATCTCGTTGACTTAGAATATGCAGACGATATAGTCCTTCTAGGCGAAGACGCTGACAAAATGCAGTCTTCTGAACACCTTGAGCTGCAATCTACGAATGTTTGGCATGCGATTCCCTCCCACCAAATGCAAGATGATGTTACAGGATTGGACTACACTGACTCCTAGATTAGAAATAGGAAGTGAAGTGGCAGAGCATGTTGACCGCTTCACTTACTTGGGAAGTACCATCAGCCCCAACGGGTGGATCTCTGACGAAATCTCAGCACGAACACAAAGGGCTAGTTTCGCATGTTCCAGTTTACACAATCTCTGGCGTAGACGTGATATCCGACTGCCGACCAAAGGGCGTGTGTACTGCTCATCAGTCCGCTCCGTCCTCTTTTATGGCTGTGAGACCTGGCCATTGAGAGCGGAAGACATGAAAAGATTAGTTGTCTTTGATCATAGGTGTCTGCGTTCTATATCCCGAGTGAAGTGGTATAATAAGGTGAGCAATATTGAGGTTAGGCGTCGAGTGCTAGGTAACGAGGGGAAATCAATCTATGGGACTATGAAGCTACATCGACTGAGATGGTTAGGACATGTGTTACGTACGCATGCCTAGTCATCGCCTTCCTCAACCGAAGGGCAATGTTAGCTGATATAGGGTCAGGCTGGAAAAGAGCTAGCGGCGGTCAAACCAAAACATGGCCTCACCAGTCAATGAAATCTACAACAGTTAGTCTAAGCCACGTAGGAAGGTGCAGACTTCCTGGTTGGCGTACTCGGGATGGTAAAAACCAATGGTTGGAAACAATTGGTGACATGGCTCAAACTCATCGTTCTCAATGGCTAGCGCAGATGCATCCACTCCTTGTGACTTATGATTTCCAATTAAACTGTTTTGTTTTTCGTTATTACTATACCTTTGGTCTAATATCCCTGTTTACTGTCTCTAATATGCATTTCTCCTACTTTCTTCTCTTGCTTTGTGTGCTACAAAGAGGGAGTGTGGCGACTTGAACTGCCGCACATACGTGCAAAGTTCTATGTCGAAAACAGACAGACAGATAGATAACCAGTTTTCTGTGCTTTTTCGAAGCATGCTAGTCTGAATTACTGTTTCTGTACACGTTGATTTGTCTATCCGTTAGGTAGTCAGTCAGTAAGACTGAGTTAATAGCAGTAGGATTTACAAAAGTCGATATTCTAAAAATGTTAATTAACTTACATACTACTAACAAATTACATAATGCTACTGAAAATTATTTGTCTTTACTGTCAATCTAGCTGAGGTCATACTTGACAGACAGACACACAACCCCTCGGATTTCAACAGTAAAAGAAGTGATACCAGTAGATCATGCTGGATAAAAAGTATGTTGGAATGTATGAAATTTTCTACAAAGACAAATTACAGAAGTACGCCGATAAAATGAAGGTTTGTGTGCATATAATAAGAGAAAAAAAAGAAAGGAAAAAGTACCTGGGAATCATGACTATTTCGACACCACTTTGGTTAAAACTGATGAAATGGATATATGCCGATCAACTGTTTCTTTAGACCAGACACATTTTCTTAACAGTCATTTGTATAGGCCACTTTTCTCTAGGAACTTAGTTTTCCATGCCCGAAAACACCTACCAGTGTATTGGCTAAATAAAGGTTTAGTTGAAACCATCAGCAGTTCCACACTAGACTACCTTTTCCAAATGAATTATAAATCTGGTATTGAAGAATATTCTTCTATCACATACCGGGTATCATATAAATTACCAAGAGCCTAAACGCACTAAATGCTTCAAACAACAGAGGCCATTGCAATTCACTTGAAACAATCGAAGCTCTGCGTGGAAACGAAACATGCTCAGCCACTATTGCCACCTTGGTCTGTTGTGGAATCTATGGCTGGTGAATAAGGCTGTCTCTAATTTGAAACGAGGCAAAGCACCAGGACCTGATGAAGTGACTCCAAAAGTGACATATTGCTGTTTGGGTTAACCAAGCTATTAGGCACCATCTGGGAATCAGAGACAGTGCCGTTAGACTGGCTTAAGTCATTGATTATCTCAGTATACAAGACGGGAGACAAGTCTTCCTATGATAATAAGGTATCTTAAGTTCTAGGTTCAATAATCATGCGTAGATTAAGTGGTGCTCGAGAGAAACAAACAAGAGAAAACCCGGTAGGCTTTAGACCAAGTAGGGGGTATATTGATCAAATCTCCTTTCGACAGATTCTCGGAAATAGACATACTTACAATTCTTGGCCTGAAGGAGGCATTTAATTGCATCGACAGAGAGGTTCTGTGGTAGTGTTTGGATGAGAAACAAATTCAAAGAAAGCATCTCGCTACAATCTTCGAATGTTTCGCAAGCCATTCGCTCATGTCAAATAAAAGATGGTGCTACAGAACTGGACTACATTGACGCCTATCTTAGAAATAGGGAGTGAAGTGGTTGGTGGGTCGTGCTGACCATTTCACTTGTTATTTGGGAAGTTGTAACAACCAACGCCAGCAGGTTGATCGCTGACGAAATCTCAGAACGGATACAGAATGCTCGTTTCGCATATGCCAGTTTACGCCGTCTCTGGCTTGGTAGACGTGATATACGGCCAGAGGACGTGTGTACTGCTTGGCAGTTCGCCCCATCCTCCTCTGTGCCTGGCTGTGAGACGTGGCTATTGAAAGTGGAAGACATGAAAAGGATAGCTAGCTGTCTTTCCTCATTGGTGTCAGCTTTCTATTTCCCGGGTGTGTGAAACAGTATAATAGGGTGAGTAATAATGAGATTAGGCGTGAGTCGAGTGCTAGGTAAGGATGGAGGGGAAATCAATCGGATGGTTAAGACATGTGTTACGCATGCCCAGCCTAGCCTTCTTCTTCCCTGACCGAGGGGAAATGTTAGCTGACTGACATAGGATTGATCAGGTTGGAAAAGAGCTGCTAATGGTGGTCAAACCAAAACATGACTTCATCAGTCCATGACATCTTTCACGGTTAGTTTAAGCCGCGTGAGGAGGGAAGTGTAAACTTCCTGAGTGGTTGTAGTCTTTGGGATTCTAAGAACCAATAGCTGGAGATTATTTTTGATATAGCTCAAAATCGTTCTCAAAATCTAGCGTAGATGCATTCACTCCTTCTGATCTGCCATATCGATGAAGCCCCATTGTCCTTCCATGTTACTATTGTTTCTCCCTCATATTGCTGCTTACTATAATATCCTTTTCAATCTCCTTCTCTTTCTCTCCCTCTCACTTGTCCTCCTTCGTGTGCTGAATGGAAAGTGTCAACTTTAACTTGTCCACTTCTGTGCAAAGTTCCATGTTGGTACCAGTCAGTCACTTAGAATCTGATGAAGGGTTTATCGAGAAGAAACTCATTTGTGCTCTACTAACCAGTTTAAAATAACTAGGACAAAGTATTGGTGACAGCAAAATCCTCAGAAGGACAAGGCAACATCCTCATGGACCACCTCTCTTCAGCCTTTGGTTCGACGTTAGATCCATAAGGCAGCAGGCCAGTGCGTGCCCATGGTTATCGATGACCATAACAGATTCCTACACCATTCTATCCTCTCGGGGCGTGTGTACTGCTCAGCAGTCCGCTCCGTCCTCCTTTATGGCTGCGAGACCTGGCCATTGAGAGCGGAAGACATGAAAAGATTAGTTGTCTTTGATCATAGGTGTCTGCGTTCTATCTCCCGAGTGAAGTGGTATAATAAGGTGAGCAATATTGAGGTTAGGCGTCGAGTGCTAGGTAAGGAGGGGAAATCAATCGACGGGACTGTGAAATTACATCGACTGAGATGGTTAGGACATGTGTTACGTACGATGCCTAGTCATCGCCTTCCTCAACGAAGGGCAATGTTAGCTGATATAGGGTCAGGCTGGAAAAGAGCTAGCGGCGGTCAAACCAAAACATGGCCTCACCAGTCAATGAAATCTACAACAGTTAGTCTAAGCCACGTAGGAAGGTGTAGACTTCCTGGTTGGCGTCCTCGGGACGGTAAAAACCAATGGTTGGAAACAATTGGTGACATGGCTCAAACTCATCGTTCTCAATGGCTAGCGCAGATGCATCCACTCCTTGTGACTTATGATTTCCAATGAAACTGTTTTCTTCTTCGTTATTACTATTCCTTTGTCTCACACCTCTGTTTACTGTCTCTAATATGCATTTCTCCTACTTTCTTCTCTTGCTTTGTGTGCTACAAGGATGGAGTGTGGCGACTTGAACTGCCGCACATATGTGCAAAGTTCTATGTCGAAAACAGACAGACAGACATCCTCTCGGATTCTTGGGGCTATGTACACTGTAGGTTTGGAATCGAGGTTTTTCAGCTCTCCTAGGTAGACCTGCATGCCCATCATTCCGGCAGTAACCTCCAGACATAAATTCTCAATCTTCTTTTTTGATGTGGTTGTGTTCTCCTAACCATATAGTTAATTAACTATTAGCAGCGGCTATGGACACGTGACCACATGAGAGCTTTTCGAGAGAAAGACCAAAAGTCTACTCACCCTTGGCCGTACACCACACATCGTTCATAGGGGAGTTCTCTGACTTGTAATGTTATGAGAATTTCTAAAAGTCACATTAAGGAAAGTTAATTAATGATAACATTTTTGAAACCACTTGCAATTGCAGCTAATTTCCACAACAACAACAAAAAGAAAATTTACCTGACTTTCTTGAAACTGTCGACTACTGACTGATGATAATTGTGGAAACCATGAGGAGTTAGGAGTAACTGTTGACGGAGGTAAGGGTTCCGGGATATGTATCCTACGTGGACGACTATACTGATATGATGGTTGTGTAAAAGTTTCTTCTGAGAATGAATCTTCACCGGCAAGTAGACGATTGAAGTCAACTACATTATGCGTAGATGACTCATCATTATTCATAGGAGTTTTAGTAGTTAACCGATTCGACCAAATTTGTGTAGATTGTGAGGGAGTGATACAAATTCTCTGAGTAGGAAATTGAGGTTCATTAATCAATCTAGTATTTGGATATGATGTTGATGAATAGCCACCACCAGCCCCACCGCGGCTGCCGCCACCGCCAGATGTACCAGATTCAGTGAAATATTCGCTAGCTGGACCGGATTTCAATCCAACTGAATGATGATAGGGAATAGAATTCACTTCAAAATTTGAAGAGGTTGTAGACGATACATGAGGTGAAGAAGACAAGAACGAGTCTGTCTGTGGCATAACATTGACGATTGTACACGGTTGGGCAAGAACAACTGGCTTATTTCGCTGATGTAGTCTAGCAGTGAATTTATTCGATATAAATCTCATATCAACAGGACCATTTGAATTGATTGTGTTAGAATATAGTGAACTTTGGGTATCATGGGAAGAGAAGGCTGCGGTTGCTGCTGCTGATGTATTGTGATGATGACGCAACATTTGAGGATGACTTGATGCTAAGTGGGGTATTGAATAGTTTAATGAACCTACAGATTCACAATAGGCTTCATTTCTGTTGTTATCATCGGTAAGATCAATAACTGTATTGGGTGAGGGAGGAGTTTGTACAACCCAAGGATACTGATGACAAGATGAATTGGATACTTGTCTGTGTAGGGAAGAGAGAATAGATATAAAGGTGGAACGGTTAGAAATATCAACAACAAAAAATGCGAGTCTTTATTCACTGTATACAAAATAAATTATGCTACCCACCTTAACATTTGATGCCGTTGTCGTGCTTCACGCATAAGATCACGTATGTCATGGTGACGTGGTACTCTACGCTTCTCTTCCATTGTATGTACCTGAAAAATAAAACAAAATATGATTTAGGATAAAAACAAAGTGAAGAAATACACATTATGTATGTAATTAGGGGTGTCTATAGAGTGAAGTATTCGGTGACAGAATTATGACTAGTTACGGACTAATAGGTGCGTCGGTGGCATAGCGGTTAGGACGCTCGACGACCATGCACATGGTCCGGGGATCGATCCCCGGCCGACTCAGTCCTTTACCTCGCTAAGCCAGAAATAATGCTGGTGAAGAGGAAAGGTTGGACATGAGGCTAGCAACCCATCCTGTAAAATAAACACTGCTACAGAAACTTCAAGCCACAAGCTTGAAGCCTTATGTTCCACTGGGGAACGTGAAGGAAAAAACGGACTAATAGCCATTTAGCAACTCAGAATATGCACGTAGGCTAAATGGCATACATAAATGTTTATCTTTTACACAATTACATTATCTTGCATACCTTTTTACGTCTTAAATTCTACTTATCAGTTACACCTACACGTCTCTTGATGATAGTATTAACTTTCCAAGACAGTGCTGATATGAGAAATAGAATGGTTTGTATAATAGCCAGTTTTTGGATGGAGACTTGTGGGATCATTCGGGTAAGTACTCAACTTTCAACCAATGGATCCCGGAATCGAATCTTGCTCTGCCTACTTGTGTATGTAAGTATGGTATGCGTTTTGTGCCATCTAAGTGTAAAGTACTGTTACAAGATTGGCAGGAGTCTGTGCCTCCATTAACCCTCGCAGGTGAACCACTTGAAGTTGTTGATAAGTTAGTGTATCTGGGTAGTTTGTGTGACTGCTGGCGGAAATGTAACGGAGATTTCTAAGTGTATCATGAAAGCTAGAGTGGCATACGCCAATTTGAGCCGTTGCGACGTTAGCCCGGCTCTCAAACGTTGAGTTCACAATGCTTGCTGCTCTACACCTATGAAACCTGACCTCTCCAAGCACAGGATGTGCAGCAGCGACTCTGCGTATTCGATTATCGCTGTCTTTGTAGAACTGCTCGAGTTAGGTGGCATTATCGTCTGAGTAATTCTGAGGTTCAGTAGAATGTGTTTGGACACCGTAAAGACCACCATTCACCGGCTTTGATGGCTTGGAAAAGTGCTGCGAATGTCCTCCCAGAGGCTCCCATACCGGTCTCTGTTTGCTAGCTCTGGGATGGGATGGAAAAAGTGGGAAGATGCTTAGCCTATGACGGGCGTTGTGGGAAGAAGGATACCTGTATCAGGTTAGCACCAGCCGGTAAATCGTGGCTCCCTGGTTGGGTTCTAAGAGACAATTAGAACAAGTAGCTCGAAAAGTTATCAGATATGCCTTAGAATCACAACCATTGGAGTTCATTCTGTCAACTTTCTTCTTCGTTCCTATTCTTACAGTAATTTGAAGAATGTTTTTTGGTCTTGCCGAATATAGTTGCTTCCTTTCTGGTTGAAGTCTTTTAATCATTCTCCCTTGATTTCCTTTATATATTGTTTTTTTATGATTATTGAAAGGCGCATCTTCTTGATGACTATATTGTGGAATGTTCTGCGTTTTAAACAAAAAATTAAAATAGAATACTTCAACCAGGGCAACAGAGTAGTAATCATCAGCCCTCATACAACCAGTGTTACTCTCAAAGGCCGGTGACTGGGAAGGCGAGCTCCAGCTAACTTATGCATGGAGCTATGAGCTAGTCATTAGTGTGTGGCGAAATGATTTCGAACTAGCCAGAAACCACTGGCTGAATATTAGAGCTAGGGACGACACAACCAGCTACATCTCCCTCCATTGGATAGATTAAAATCGATTTTAGCATGTCCATTGTAATTTGTTGTTAAGGTATTACTGGTGAGTGGGAGAAATAGTAAGCAATTTCTCATCTCATATGTTTTGTTGTGTCTGTTGTTGTTGTTGTTTTTTTTAACAATCTTTAAACGCTACATAACGTGTGTATAGAAAATAATTCGAATACAAGCCTCACCTGGTGTAGATTGTGAACTTTATGTGTTGCTTATAAATATTATTGTTATCATTGTCGTTTAAAAATAGAACTTCATACTTTATGACCACCAAGAAATGAATGAGGCAAAAATAATAATAATAATAACAGGACAAAAATATTAGGAAAATAAAAATAGAATAAGTGAAGGACAGAATCAAGAAAACAAGTAAGCATAGTTATCATCAAGAGCATTCAGAGGATGGTTCATGAATCCATGTTAAGTTCAGAAAGAGAAGGAGAGAGAAAAAGAGGGAATTGAAAAATATGTTCATCACTGATAACAAATCTCGGTCGTATTTGATAATGTCTCGTACCACGGGTTCGAATTACCTCTTGTATCAGACCTAATACAACCATCCGTCATTAAACGGCACCACGTCTTCATGGGTTGACCACTTCTTCCACACAGTCCCGGAGTTAGAGAACAGTGAATGGTATGTGAGTCGCTGCGATGACGTCTTTTTTTATCCTTCACGTTCCCCAGTGGAACATAGGGCTTCAAGCTAGTGGCTTGAAGTTTCTGTAGCAGTGTTTATTTTACAGGATGTGTTTGCTAGCCTCACGCCCAACCTTTCCTATTCACCAGCATTATTTCTGGCTTAGTGAGGTAAAGGAGTGCGTCGGCCGAGGATCGAACCCCGGACCATGCACATCGTCGGCGAGGGTCCCAACCGCTATGCCGCCACGATGACACGTCTAAGCCACCCTATTCAGTGTTCCAAGATAACAACACATATTGGAAGACGATCTCTATAGTCCAAACACACACACGCTAATGGACCTCAGAATAGCTTATATGGCGATGACACCGGATGCAAGTAATTCTACAGAGACAGCGATGATCGCATACACAGAGTCACCGCACATCTTCAGATCGAAAAAGACCAGGTTTTACAGGTGTAGAACAATACAATGCGTACTTTGCGTACATTTGACGGCCAAGGATGGTCCAATTTGGTGTGTATACCGCCTTATCACACCACTATCATTAAAAACAACTACCTACATACACAAACATCGGTTACTTCCGACAGTTGACCTGCGAGGGTGAGTGCACGTACAGGATCTTGCCAGTCTTGGCCCAACACACATACCATACCTTACAGACAATGATCGCCAACTGATTAACTGTGATTTGGGCAACCTGCATACCATCTCACAATAAGACAACGTCGTCTGCATACTGGAAGCCACGAGTTCTTTGTTTGTACTACACTTATCACAAATTAATATGGAGTGTTGTTGAACATATAAGCAGAGAGATCAAATGAAACCTACTGAAAGTGTCCAAAACTTCAGTGACAAAAAGTCCATAACTCTTCAATGTGATGCTTTTGCCAAGCGTATTTAACAGCTACTCCTTATAGCTTTAGTGCTTTAATGCCTCAGTCGAATCACTTTCAACTTTTTTCCAACTTAATGCAAGTTAGAATTAATTGGGCCATTGGATCGGGTCCCAGTGGCTTAATGGTCTACGAGCTAGCTCGCTTTTTAACGAGAGGGTCCTGGGTCGGAACCCTGGCGGTGGGTGCGTACTGCATAAGAATCCCAAACACACTATTTGCTATCATTGGCAATAAAATACATAACATTATACAAACAAATGACTCAGATTGACTAAGTAGAGATTTATAGTCTGACGCTAAGTCATATTTATTGAGATGGAATGTACAACAAGGTGTGAATGTTCAGTGTTGGAGAGAACTGGCAACTCATATAGTTATTATTTACGCAGAATGAGATCAGATAAAAGAGTTTATGAATTTTGTAGTGCAGACGAATAAAAATCAAAACAAAATGGGAAAGTTGTTTGTTTTTTTTAACTACACAAAGCGATGAGGGAGATAACTTTGAAACAATCTATGTTGCACCTACTTAAACATCTACATTCATTATTATTATTCGCTTAACTTCCAAGTGGAATATGGAGCTTAAACAGCATATCTCCACTACATCCTCCTCTCTGCAGTCATTTCTAGGTGGTTCCATGATCGCTTGTAAGCTCCCATCTCCTCCTAACACGATCTCCTGTATATCACCCTTGAACTCACGCCCAACTTGTCGTTTCTAATTCCGGTTCCACTAGAGGTCCTTGCGTGCGATGTCACTCAAAGGTCCCCTCAGTAAATGTCCGATCCATCTCCACTTTCTTTGGTATAGTTGTTGGACGATAATTTCTTGATAGGTTTGTTGCCAAAGTTCCTTTTCGCTAATTTTTTCTGACCATTCGACCTTGCATTTGTTGATAATTGTCTGGTGCCGGTTAGAAATGCTTTCAATCACGCTCCAAGCCTCTGAACCACATAGAAGCACTGATTTGACATTTGTGTTGAAAATCCGAATCTTACTGGATGTGAATTAGATTTCCACATACTGATTTCCAATCATGCTTCGACATCTTTATCCGTGCCACCTGTAGTTAAAACGACGCTGCCTAGGACAAGTTGAAGAAGTGACCTCTTTCGAATTCCGCCAGTTGATGGTAATTAGGGTTAGGTATCCTCATCACTCCCGACTTCTCTACAATCACTTGAAGTTCAACTGCCTCTTCTGCTAACCTGTTGGTTTCCACTTGTAGATCTTCAAGTATGTGTGGTGACACATTTAAACATTAATCGTCCACGAATGTAAAATCTCTTAGAGTCTTCTTATCGGCCAAATGTATTCCTGGCTTCTGGTACCCCACGGTCTGCCGCATGATCCAGTAGTAGTCCGCCAACAATCAGGATGATCATCTGTGATAATAGGCAGCTTTGTCTTACTCTTGTCTCCATTTCACTGCTATCATTTGAGTTTACTGTTGTGAAT